CTCACTAGGTTCAAAATTACCACCGGAGCAGGCTGCCTGGCTTCAGGAAGAACGAATCATGTGTGGATCATATATCTAGGATACGCTACGCATCATCATAGAACAGAGTATAGAATGGCAGTCAACTCTATACCTCAACTTTATCGACTTTGAAAAGGCCTTCAATAGCGTCGACCAAGAAGTAATTTGGAAAGCAGCTGCTTCAACACTACGGAGTGCCACAAATCTTTATCAACCTCTATCAACAGCTAAACGATAACGCCACATGCTAAGTGATCCATAATGGAAAGCTCAGTAATGTCTTTGAAGTGAAGTGAAGACAAGAGTAAGACAAGGCTACCTACTGCCACCCATGACCTCCCTGAATCTAGTCCACTGGATCATGCAGCAAAACGTGAGCAGCTAGAAAATGGCCATCCACTGCATGAACCGATGAGAAAACCCTAGAAATAGATTTGGATTTCGCCGATGATGATTTATGTCTTTCATCGCATTAACTCGAAGATCCACGGGCGAAAAAAAAAAGATGACAAAATAGGTAAGGCAGCGAAAACAGGATTTAAAGTGAAGGTATAAAAGACAGAAGTAATAAAGATAACCCACCACAAACAGCATCAAACAAACTACAGGCATCCATAAACAGTTGGAAACTACGCTCACTCAATACTGAAGATGAAGATAAGATAAGATGACCAGAAAGAATAAGTAAGGAGTAAGTCTGACTGGAAACGAACCAACAAAGCAAGAACCTACCGGCCAACAAATATGTAGAAGAGAGTGGAGATGGACTGGATTGAGCAGACACTGAGAAGGCCGATTAGGGACATCACGCGCCAGGCCAGGTCAGGTCAGGTCAGGCAGTCGAGTGGAGCGCAGATGGGAAACGACGAGTTTGGCGTCTGAGGTGAGGGTGACATGGAGGAGGTCATGTGAGTAAGAAATGAAAGCTTGTGGGCAGTTGTGGAGAGGAGAGTGAAATGGAGACCTGCTACTGAGCCCCATAATCCACTAGCAGCACAAAAGGGAAATAGTATTAATAATAGTAAGGATAATAATAATGATCTTGTCTGTGACATACAGTTAATGATGTCTGAATTCTTCCTTGACAACACCACACGATAGTGGTGGCTTGACAATGTGTATGAGATACTTTAAATGAAAACAGATTAGAACGAAGAAGGTGAAGCTTACTGTTCATTTTTAATGCACCTTGAGTCTATAAGCTGGGTGTGTCTCAGTCTCACCACGTGAATGCTATATCCACCATCTCCTAAACTGAGTGGACAGTAATCTCAAAAGATGAAACACATTCGAAATAAATTAGCAACTAATAACTTCGGAGGGTTATTTCAATTTTCTCGTCAACTAGATTGCTTTGTCATATCACATAAACTCTCGGTGTCATATGATGTGTGTTCACTGTTAATCAGAATGCTTGTAGACAAGAAGAATGAAATGATTTGAGAACAGCCTGAACTTCACGCTCTTTCAGAAAGCGAAATTAGACGTGTTGTTTCTCTGCAGTAAGAGTGTCAATCCAGATTCTTGGACTACTCCGCTAACCTCCCTCTGTTAATGATATAAAACTGAAACACAGGAAGCATCGAAGCATCCATGTGGAGCACATATGACAATAGAGACCGATCAAATTCTGTCCAATCGACCGACGGTGGAATGAAAATGGTAAGAATATTGGAGAGAGTATTTGTAAAATTGACCTTGTGGAGAAGAAGAATATAAAAATTGAGATTGCTGTATGAGAAGAAACTGACAGAATTGAAATAAAAATCTCAATTTTCATCTACCTATAATAACATGATAAAACCTAACCATTAAGTGAATTTTGCCGTGAATTATTATTATTTTGTTTCCTTTGGGTTCCTAGTGGATTATAGGGCTCAGTAGCAGGTCTCCATTTCACTCTCCTCTCCACAACTGCCCACAAGCTTTCATTTCTTACTCACATGACCTCCTCCATGTCACCCTCACCTCAGACGCCAAACTCGTCGTTTCCCATCTGCGCTCCACTCGACTGCCTGACCTGACCTGACCTGGCCTGGCGCGTGATGTCCCTAATCGGCCTTCTCAGTGTCTGCTCAATCCAGTCCATCTCCACTCTCTTCTACATATTTGTTGGCCGGTAGGTTCTTGCTTTGTTGGTTCGTTTCCAGTCAGACTTACTCCTTACTTATTCTTTCTGGTCATCTTATCTTATCTTCATCTTCAGTATTGAGTGAGCGTAGTTTCCAACTGTTTATGGATGTCTGTAGTTTGTTGGGAATGATTTTCGCGAAACCCCAACATTCTGAACCATCACACTGAAACACTGACTCGACTGACAACAGTGTCAAAAATCCGCAGGTTCACAGACAAATTTAGTCAACTTTATTTGGCTTGCAGTACATAAACAATCAACAGGGTGGTTAAACTAGGCTTACTCATACATCTCATGGCCAAAAGACATCCTCGTGATGACTCCACACAATATCTCACAATACTTCACAAGTTCCTTTATATATACGCAAGTTCACTTGCTTACAGTTATGTAGTTCATTCTCGATCTTTCTAACTTTCTCAAATATTGTGTTGAGACACTCATTTTCGTAGAAACAAAACAAATCCAAACGTCTTCTCCAGTTTACTTTGGTTTTGTTTTATCATAAAGTATTGATGACAGAGATAAAGACAGAGAAGAGAAGAAGTCGAAGTGGGAATGGGTTGAAAAATAGTTCCACCTGATGAGTCACTGAACGAAATGGCATTTGACTAAGAATACAAGACGATTTCAAAATAATATTTGAACAACGAATGAAATTACTAATAGTACGATTGTCATCACCCGGTTCCCAATCGCATTTTTTAATCCTCGAATACATCTCTGTATCGAAGAATAATTAATTGCTCTTTTCATGCTTTCGAATAATCAATCACTGGAACTAAAACCACACTGTAATACAGTTGCGTCATTGGGTCGGAATCCAATGGTAACATACTGGCTACGTGACCTGGAGGTCCTGTGTTCCATCCCTGGTGGGGTCATGGGTGCATATGGAGCTGTAGCTCAGTGGTTTATGGAGATGAATATCAACTAATGGGTCACACGTTTCAGCCCTGCTTCACCTATCGTCATTTGGGCAGCCATGTTAATCACTGACTCTCACACAATAGGTGTGGCCTATTACTTAGTGCACGGATGTCCACAAGGTGTCTGAGTGCAGTTGCACTGCAAGAATGCTCACTGCTGAGAAGTCTCATGCGTGGATGAAACAGCTGTCCATTGCTTCCAGGCTTCTGGCGTTTGTCTAACTGACGTTAGTTCATGATGAATAATGGCCTGAAATCCATAAACAAATAATAACGAAGCTCTAAATTTTATAGCAGCTAGTTGTATGTTTAGTGTGGAGGCATCTTTTAATCCTGATTGCAAACTCTTTTCACAGCATTCACTTATTTTTACCTCAGACTAAATGGCTTGATTCTGAATTTATCTGATCTTAGAAATCGGGAACTCTGGTTTGTATCAACGAGGGATCAAAATGTTCGTTATGATTACAGTTACACCCTGTTGACAATTACAAACAGAGAGGAATCTCAAGTTCGGTAGGATATCCTAAACTCTGACTGCCAGCATGTAAAACATTAGGAAGTCTGCAACTCTATCAAAATGTTCAAAAACAAGAACCTTTTAAGTACTAGATCTCGAATTCTGTCTTCTGTCTGACTCATTCTAGTCTCCTGCAATTTTAGTAGATTTACCGAAAATACAAATCAAATTGCGAGAATTAATGGAAGTCATCTATTTTTGGAAATGTATTCATAGAAAATCTTGTTATATATATTCAAAAAAGATTGAAATATTTCTACAGATATAAAAAAAGAGAAAGTCTCACAGTATTTCAGCCCTTTCTCCTTTTGAAGATAGATTGTAGTGCAATGCATTCTCAAACCTTCTTTCTTCCATAAACTAGTTAGTTGAAAATTTTACTTACACAAAAGTGTGATCATAAGCGTTCACTTTACACCTTTGAACTACATCATAAATTAATTCGAAATCGTTTGAAAAAAATGCTTCGGTGATAGCGATATACAGAAAAAGACTGAAAAAAAGGTTGATTAGTTTCCTCCTGCATAACCTAAAAACACCTGCTCTTCATTAAAACAATTAGGTGAAAAAAAATCAGTACCACTAACGTTTACCATATTCTAAGAAACTGTCTCAAACTAATCAGCCTATTGCAATACTTTTAAAGTCGTATGTAACAGAGTTCGTTATCTAAATGTATTAAATTTATACGATACAATTAAGATTTTGAAAAACAAATAGACAAGAAAACACATTGACTTGTGATGATGGTTAAGAAACAAACATGAAGGCAAAAATTGTATACACAGAGGAAAGTTTTAGCAATAAACAAAACTATGCAGCAAACTGGTCAACGTAATGTTTAGACTGAGCAAAATAAAATAAAAATTATTAAACTGTGGTTGTGTATGGTAAAATTTACTACTTTTTCGATTTATCATTATATATTCTATATATAAAAAATTGACTACTGAGAAATTGATGCTCACTTCTTTGTTAGATAGAAGCATCATGTAATCAATAAATATTGTTCGCAACAATCTAATGCCAGCAATATTACACAAATTAAATAAATGCATTTTCTGGCAAATACCAATTACAATAAATGTAAATATTAATGTAGGAGAATGCCATATTTCTTTCCAATTTCAGTGTGCAACAGGTATTTATATTTCAAATGTCTTTTATGCTCAGTAAACCTTATCTTTAACACAAGAATAAAGAGGGATGAAAAACACTTCATGATAATATAGGCAGAATTATCCCTTATGCTTGTTGCAGTACAAATGCTGAAGTTTTAACCATTGTACACAAAAAAGATTCATTAATGGTAATGAACAAAACATTTGTGAAAATCTGTACACGTGAACGGAAACACAGATAGATTTATTTAGTAATCACATTTGTAATGTCAATGTTATCTTATTTCATTTTGAAACATTTTTTGTGCAAACTTCTCGGAGTATGCATCATCATTAGTTTCATGAAAAGAGTTGATATTATCTCCCATTAAGTCATTATTATTCATAATATGGTGAAAAATTTCCGAATTGTGCCCTTGTTCACTATTGTATGGATCTATTTGATGCAAATTTTTATTTCTGATGTTAATAGTATTTTCTCTGTTGTTATCTAAACTTACCGTGAAAATTTTCTTATCCCAAGAAGGTAAACTTGACTTCAAAGTCTGTTCAGATGCTGGTAATAATTCCATATTATCAACTGGATCAGTAGCGCAATTAATTAATTTAATTGTAGATGGGTTAAATGTGTTATTCATTTGGGGAATAATTAATTGTCCATGGTTACTGAAGAACTATTATGCCAAGCTGGATAGCCAGAACGCAAATAAGTAATATTGTGTGGTTGTTTGTAACGTTGTGGTGAACCAATGTGTTGTTCATTTGTGCGATTACAAATTTGCTCTATTTGGTTCTTTGAGATTACTCGTACCAAGTTTCTACTTCTCGATTTGAATAATCTTAGCAACTGATTTCCGATAAAAAATAGCAATAGTCCAACTGCCAGACCAATGATCATACCAATGAAGCCAGAAAGTAAATATTTTGACACGGTTTGCGGTAAGTACTGTTTTTCATTAAAACATTTTCTTTGAGATGATTTGTTTGAAGTAACCTCAGATAAGTTTGAAACAGCTTGATAAGCAGCACCTAGATTTACAAAAAACAGAATAGCTAGATGACTGGAAATAAAGTGTATTACAGTAATCATTCATATTTAACAGACCTCACTAACTACGAATGGCAACATAAACAGTTTTCCTACGAACATTTATAATATTGCAGTTAACAAATAACACGCCGTCATTTCTCCATGTTAGAAGTGTAATTTTCGTCCATCCAGATTGGCCGAAACTATTAGGCACCGTACTACGAAAAATGTATTGCCATTGACTTCAATAAGCATCTCTCTCAACTAGGCAACCAATTTACGGCTGTGTACTACTTAAAAACTCTGTCTGATTTAGCAAAGCTCAACTTCAGCACTTCTCTAGACATTTACTTGCTTAAAGCATTAGTTGGCTGGATTTGAGTAGGACTTAAAATAAAATGAGAATGACATTAGTCAGGACTCAATACATATTAGGTTACTGCTTTTACTCAGGTAAAGTCTTTACTTGTATGCCCGTTATGAGTAGCAGCGTAATGACAGGGAATCAATAAGACATTTATTGAAGTTGTAACTTTCAATCGATGAAACAGAAATTACTTTCATGCTGTTTTGCTGCAAGGCATATAGACCACAGATTAAAGCAGCATACTGAATGAATTGGTTTTACTTGATGCATATGCTAGAATTATCTCCTGAGGTCTACTTTTAGTCACGTGCATGATTTCACACTAACGACAAAACGTGGGAGAGATTTTGGATGTATGATTATCAGTAAGTCAGTTTTCAAGTATAAGTTTGGGGTGCGTATATGACGCTATCAATACACTAAACTATTTCTAACGTTTGCTATGAGAAGACAGAGGTGATTATGATAACCAACCAACAGCACCAACAACAACAACAAAAACAAAAACAGGTTCCAATCACCATCAATGGGAAAAACCTAAGGGAAGTAGTCTATTTCACCTATCTAGGCAGAACTCTTTCAACTACAGGTGGCACAGATGAGGACGTCAAAGCCAGCTAGAATCGGAAAGACAGCAAGGCAGGCGTTCATCAACCTGAAACCAGTGTGGAGATCCCCTGCGCTCCACTCAGCATCGGGCGCGAACAACATCCAGATTCTCAACATTAATTCAGTGAAGTTAGTGTTTCTATGTGGTTCGGAGACTTGGCGCGTTACGAAAAGCATTCCCAACCAACTACAGATATTCATCAACAACTGCCTACATTGACTCGTTACTGAAGCTCAGATGGTCAGAATAATAATAATAAGCAACAAGGAACTCTGGCAACGAACCAACCAAGAACCTATCACTCAACAAATATGCAGGAGGACGTGGTGATGGATTAAGGGTACACTGAGAAGGTCGACTAGGGACATCGTGTGCCAGGCCGTCTAGTGCAGTACAGTTGAGAATCGACGAGTTGGGCATCCCAGCTGAGGGTGACATGAGGGAGATCGTAAGAAGAAGAAATGAGAGCTTGTGGGGAGTCGTAGAGCCAGACTGAAAAGATTGTAGAGAAGAGAGTGGAATGGACACGTGCTACTAAAGCCCTATGTTCCAGTGCGAACCCAAAGGACAAATAAATAAATAAATAACTTTTGCTACAATCCTTATGAGGCAGGCAGGTATTTTAAACTAATGGTAGGACAATTTTTAGTGAATTTCAATGCTACTTGTTACATGTCTTTATGATTAAACTGAAAATTCACATCGTCTTCATTAGAATTCTAAAGTGAAGCATCAGTAAGTAACAGACATCTACAGATAGCTAAAATGCACCTGAGAAATCAGTTATTGATGAGATATCCAGTATTCAGTCGAAAAGGAGGAAAACTACCCAGAAATCATTAGGTAAAGGATCAGCTTTATCATTACGAAAACTATTAATTCAACTAAACGTATCCTTTTTAAAAGAAGCAAAACTAATCTCAACGAACGAAACCCAACAGCAGGCAGACGACTAAAGCTAATTCAATCAAATATCAGTTTTCATACGCCCGGTTATACATATAAGTGAGAGTGATGGGACTATACAAAAAAGCTGACTGAACATTCTCTTGAGTGGCTTTACTGCGGTACTCTGGAAAGAAAAAATGACAAGGTGGCATGTCAGTTTACCGGCGGAGAAATTGTAGCAATCTACTGTAAGAATGACACAGAAACAGTTTTGAATATATTATGTAGATTATTCTATGGGATTATTTATGGGTTGAGTAGAATCTCGGCTACAAGAAACATCAAGACCTTGGTTTTTACATTTACCAACTGTTTGTTCTTCCTTTAAATCTACAATAAAGTCTAATAAGAAATAATACGCCTCCCCTATAGATTTTTTTTATTCTAAGTGATTTGATTCTCTATGTAAAATGTTTCTGAGTAACCGTGTTCAAATGTATTGTGCAAATATATGATATTTTTCGCATATAACCCTTAATCTCATTACAACATACAGAAATACGTAAGTTGGTTAAGACTACTTTTCAACTACTGTAACTACTGTGCTTACAGTGAAAGCATGGTGGGGGTTACTCTGGTTAAGTATAAATTTGTTGATCCTTACTTATGTTACGGAATGAAGAACGAATTTAGAAGTGAGTGCTCAAAAGCCTCGAATAAATTTTATGTATATTTATTGGTCACAGGAGGCTAACTAACTTCGTGTTGTCTAGTAAGGGTTGATCAAATTCTATAGGTCATTTTGTAGTGTGACCACCAAGCTAGAAAGGCTTACTATGGAGATGCTGTAGTGACCAATCCATGTTCTGACTTTTGTTCTACAAGAAGTCAATGGCGACTTGAATAGCACGCTGGTAGCATTCCTGTGAGCAGCAATGAGTGACGTGGATTTGAATCTCAGATAGCAAATCTGTTCTATGGGGGTTTTAAATATGTCTCAATGACAAGTAATAAAAAATGTTTGAAAATTCAACCGATCAAAGCTTCTTACTGACAGCCTGTATCTAAAAAGCTTTACGCATTTTTATTCATGAATCAAAGTATTGTTACATAAATTAGCTAGCTGATTACTCCCAGAATAGTATTCTTATTATTCATAAGGACATTTCATTCTTTCTAGAGGTAATTGCTTCGTAAACCAAACGTTAAAAATAGGTAAAAGCTATTAAACAAACAAATCTGATTCTAGATAGCAAAATTCGATTTCTACCACCTTTTTCGAGATCTATAATCTATCAGTATTAAAGTTCTCGATTGTGATAATTATGTTGCTGTTGTTGAGTTGATCATATTTCGGTACACATTTTTACTACGAACTATTTATTTTACAATACATCACCTTCCATAACCTATCAGATCAGCCCAATGCATATCACGATGGATCGAAAAAAAGTTAAGTGTTCCTGAGGAAAGTTATCTGACAACCTGATTGTAGAAAAAAACTAAACTGGTTTGTTCATCAAATCGAAGTCAAGATTACCTGAACACAACAAACTTGGAACCACACTTTTGTTATTTTGAACACAAATGGTACTTGTACCAAAATTTAAAGACTTTATGAACCGATCAAAATTTATTCTGATCACCTTGGACATTTTTCCATGCTAATTTCACTTCAGCTAACGCAGCGCAGTGTAGTAGAGGGTGAATAGGTACACGTAACAGTGTCACGGTGTCAACAACTGACCTTCCTCTTATACTTTTAAACTCTACGCCTGAAGTCTAACTTCCAGATGCGGTGACACTGCGACATATGACGTATAAAGTCACAACATTTCAACTAAAACTGATGTCTCAATATCTGATAATTATATAACAGAACTGATCCACAGAATTAACAATGATAAATTTTATTGGTGACATTCAGCATTAGTTACTTATTGTATAAGTCCCGTAAATAAATAATTAATTAAATAATTAATGGCTAATTAACGAAGATGTAAATATCCACAAAATATAATTTCCAAACAACACAAGCAAATCACTGCATGTCTCATCGAAAGAGCTTACTAATATTCATACATCCTTTATTCGGATCATATAAACAACTAGCACTTGCTGGATAAACTGATGAAAATCCCTGATTTTCTAAGTGAATTCTACGCAAACCTGTTTTAAAATGTTAAAATTTTCTGTGAAATGCAAAATTACTTTGCTAGATACTTAAAATTCGTATTAAAGTACATGAAATAAAACCACTTAATGCGTGTTTCTAGATTGTAGTAACTGCCTTGAGTTGCATCATATCTTATAAAAGGTTGCACAATATTTTTGATACGCATTCAGCATCGTTTTCCAACAACTCAGTCAATCCACTATATATATATATATATATATATATATATATATAAATTATTCCTTCAAAAGGAAAAACACTGAGAACACAACTCATTGTATTGGTGTTTCAAACCTTTTCCATTCAGTATGTTCGTATTCTTGTACTAGTAATCTAATATAGAACAAACGTTCAGCAGCAATACTTCATACTAACATGAAATAGATAACAAAACCTGTAAAGTTTGGTTTGAATGTAAAATTTTTAATCGTTACAGTTGCTAAAATTCTCTGTTTTAATTGCACAATAATCTCGGTTAGTTGCGCCACAACCTAGGTGGAGTGACATTTGAAATGTGAGCAATCTGTAGAGTCTCAGATCAAAAACTAAACTGTGTATACATTGAGAATGAAGTTATCGACGTCTCAACATGAGACTAATGCTCGAAACAAGTCAAAGTTCAACAGAAAGATATAAAACTTCAAGATTGACAAGATATTCTTGAGTAATGCACAAAAATGATTGTTCATCAGTATGAAGGAAAACAACACTAAACATCGCTGCTATAAAAATTAATATAATTCTGACAGTTCTAAAGACAATGCGTCATGGAAACGCAAGAAGATGTTCATCAACTTACTTTATCAGAGAAGATATCAAATTACTTGATGTTGCATTACTAGTGAAATGAACTTAAGCTCAGAATAATCAAAATCTGAATTCAAAATTGTTGAAAAGGTATAATCCATTTAGTTTTTCTCTTCTAGATTGGAATCAGTTATATCATGCAAATCTCTGA